TATTTTTAACTGGCTGCCTTACATATGCAGAGCCATTAAATAAATTGGGATATTACTGAAAATCCCATTTATTTTAGGAACTTTATCACTAGGTGAAACATATTGCATAGAATAATTACACATAGATGGATGTGTCAGTGCCTTTGTTTGTGTTACACTTCATGAAAACATGACATTTACATTTTGTATATTACATCAGACTATTAAAAAAAACATATTTAACACAGAAATGTGGTTTTTATTAAAAGCATGCCACCTGTTTAAATTAAAGGTTGTTATTTCTAGAAAAGGTACTTTCACTCATCTGAATGCATATTCTAATTTATTGGATGTCTCTCTATTGCTGTCTGCAGTGTTTCGACAAGGAGACATAGGCACTAGCTGGTATGCTGTTCTGTCTGGCTCCCTGGACGTCAAAGTGTCGGAAACGGCTAATCATCAGGTAAGACCAGGCCTATCAACTGAAGCGGTTCATGTAGTTTGTGCTGTGCGTCCGTCGTTTAAGCCCCCAATTTATAATTTTGTCATTTGGTATTGATATAACCTATTCCCTCTTATTCTCTCGGTGTCCGTTCAGCTGTAAACGTGTCCCCGCAGTCTCAGAGAGCCGGTCGTTTTCTGACTCCCCTCAGTGCCGACATTGTTCTGGTACACTGCCCTGTCCCCCGTGGAAATATATTGAGAAAGCAAAACTGCCACAGCACAGAAAACAAATCCCCAGAGAGTCGAGCTTTCTGATGGACTGGATATCCACTTTGCTTTTAAAAACTGTGGAAATGGGGTTCTGGTGTACATGCAGAGGAGAAGAGTGGCATGTGGGACAGAGGATTTGTTCCAATTGAAAGACGGAGATAAGAAGCTCCTGTGGTGTGAATCGTCCTATTCACGCTCAGAGCGCTGAAGAGCTATTGGTGGCCTAGTTTCTGTAGCTATATTTGAAATGTCAGTTTAGTTTGGACGACTGAGAAGGTTCATTTAGTTCATTGAAAAATGTTGTCTAAACAAGTGGAAAAAATGACACACGAGTAAGTGTGTGTGTATGCTTCACCCAGACTTCAGCTATGTGCTGTTTGTCACTGCTGTGTGTTACATTGAAAAAGTTATGACATGACCTTGTCGTCACATTGTAAGATTTTTGAATTTTATTTGAAATTCTTAAAAAAAAAAAAAAAAAAATCAAGGGGGGGGAAAGAAAATGGTTTTCAAAAGATTTTACAAACAAAAGTCTCAAAAGTGCGGTGTGCCTGTTCTGAGGAAAACACTTTTTACTGAAGTCACATCTTCAAGTCTTTTATTATATCTCTGTCGACTTTAGTTCGACAGAGACAATATTTCCATGGAAACAGAAGATTAAATTAAAATAAAAAAATTTTCTATCCGCTGGAGGGCTTATAGCAAACTGGACTTCATTGGACTTTTTCGTATCAGTGGCAGCACTTCCATAAAGGCCGAATTTGAGGAGTGCACAACTGATAACTGTCTGTCAACAAGCGTTTCCACCTGAGCGGTAGATCTCAGTAACTCCCGCTGAGTTGCCATGTTGGTTGCCTCTCTGAATAACACCCTCTTTCTCTGCCTGTTTGATGATACAGTTCCCATTTTGGATTGACAGAAAGCCTAAAGAAGGGAGGGTTGCTTTATAACATAAGACATTACTGAAGACAATTAGTCGCACCAGATTTTAAATAGGAGTGGCAGAGAAAAATGAGGGATTGAACTCATTTGCCTACTGAACATTTTTTGAAAAAAAAAAAAAAAAGTTTAAAACAACTTCTTCAAAAAGCTGCTTCGTGTTGGTGTCACATAAAATACCAGTGAGCTACTCTAAGGTTTTGCGGTTGTAACGTGAGGAAATATGTATCATCTTCCTTTTGTATTAACTGCTGTATTGTTCTTGTAAAGTTTATAAAGAAACCTAATTAAGCATACACTGCTTGTTGCGTGTTAATCACGTCTGTCTGTGTGTTCAGGATGCAGTCACAATCTGCACCCTGGGGATTGGGACGGCCTTCGGGGAGTCCATCCTGGACAACACGCCTCGCCACGCTACCATTGTCAGCAGAGAGACCAGCGAGCTTCTCCGGATCGAGCAGAGGGAATTCAAAACCTTGTGGGAGGTGAGATGGAGCAGTCAACAGATAATAAAATTAAACGACCCAATCTATAAATGATGATCTAAGCAGGTTGAGTTTTGACGTTTTTTTGGATTTTGTACTTTTTTCCAAAACAGCTTTCTGTTGCAACTCCCCCCTTGACCACAAGAGGGCTGTCCACCATTGTGGCCTCTGTTGTTGCTCCTAATAGATGAACTCCTCAGGCAACACAACAATGGGCTATTTTAAGAACGGAGGGAGACAAAGGCGGGCATGTACCACACATGCCTGTGTTGCTTCTTTATCGTAGCCGATGTCGGTTTATGTGTAATTTACATTTTCCACTATTTGCTACATGTGAGTGCTATGAATAACATAGACTTAAATACTGCACTGTTACAGTAGGATGATCAAAAAAAGAAGAGACTAAACAACAACATGCTGAGATATTTGGAAATGGATTGCTTGATTTCCTCCAGTAATAAATCCAATTGTGTTTGTTAAAATATGTTAGACAGGTTAGCACTGCGAGACAACAGAGTATTGTACTGTAAAGGCTCGGTTTTTCCTTTATAAAAAGAGAGCATGAAGCTGATGACCATAATTAGACAATGTGCAGAGATCCTACATAGGAAGGCAATGTGTGTCGTGGTAGTCTGGCTAATTAGCCTGTCTCTCTCTCTCTGTTGATTTGTTTGAGATTGCTGGCACAAACAAAATTTAACTTAAACAGAATGGTCTTTATGCCGGATTGCACTTGTAGAGTTGGCTTTGTAGTAGCTGCTTTTGTGAGGGTCTTTCTCTTGTTGAGGTTACTGACTCCATTCACAAAGTCCCACTCAAGGGAGGTCCTGGCAGCGAAGCGGATCACTTCACTTTGGCTTCACAGTCGTCACCCGGTACTTCGACCTGCCGTCTGCCAAGTCCTGACGAATCCAAATTTTCTAAAGACTTTTGTCTTGCATATATTATTATTTTTTTTTAACTTTTCAGTTTTTGTTTAACTTTGCTCACGTAAAATCTGCTGTGTAGTGCACGAAACACTCGAGCTCCTCAAAGTGTAATGAAACAAACAGGTTTCTCTCTGAGAACGACTCGTGAAAGGTTGGTTAAGGTGACCAGCCTCTTTAATATCACCCACAACAAGCACTGTTAATCATTTTTCTCTGCTAGAAAATAAAACCCAAACCTTTGACTCTTTCACATTAGAACATAATATCCTCATGATTGTTTTAATTTTAATTATATTCACGCAACACTTTTTAGGTTCTTAATTGTGTTTTTTCCAAACATCGCAAGACAACTTATTATTTTCTTTTCACTTGATTGTTATGGATTATTTTTTGAGGGTGTGTGAAATAACAAAATATTTTACTAATAAAAGTCACACAAGTCTGTGTTTTATATTATGAAAAAAATGATCAAACATTTGAGGGGTATGGATACGTTTGGCTGGCTTCGTTTGTAGATCTGCTCGATCTAGAGGGATGTTTGAATGGAAATAATCTTTTTGCTGGTTATATTATTGCATCTGAAATGTGTAGTTGTTTGTAATGCTACTACTTTCCTTTAAAAAGATATTACCTTACCTAAGTATACAATAACAGACGCAAAATAGAAAAATTCTTATTTTTTTCTGTCTAAATTAATTCCCGAAAGACCAGCATGGATTTTTTTTTTAGAACTATCGCCACTGAAAACACATTTATCTCCATCATTAAAAAAAAAAACTTCCGAGTTGTATAACTGCATGAATAAAAATTAGATTCACCGAAACGTGGCATCTCCATTCAATGCCGCAGGGACACGTTAGAGTAAGATAAGACAATAATTGGTAATTAAAGCGCGCGCGCCGTCTTTTTGGGCTCGTGGTGTGTTTGCTTGCTCACTAAGTGCACTCTGGGTCCCTATCAGCCGTCTATTTTAGGACAGTGGGCACAAAGCAGAATACGTTGCCTGAGGTCGTTTTCCTCTCAGTCTTATCCGGCTCGTCGTACGAGGCGCTTTGAGTTTCGTTCGTGGGCTAATTTGTGCGCACGTGCACTTTGAGCACTAGAAAGCTGCAAGATGAATGCAGCCGTGCGTTTGATGGAAGGATGAAAGAAGAGGAAGTGCCGCTTCGCAACTCTATCAGCAAATAAAATTGGGAATATATATATATATATATATATATATATATATAGAGTAAAGATGCATCTAGGATCTGCTCCTGATGATTCCCTGGTCTCCTTTTCCCCCTGCTGTTCTTCCTGCTTTTGTCTCTTTTTACTCCTATGCCCACTTCCCTTCGCCTTCATTGAACTATTTTACAAGCCTTCTTGTTCTGGTTCGCCTGCCCTCTTCCTCCTCCTCCTTCTCCTTCTTCTCCAGCCTCACCCTTTACTACTCCTGTCTCTGCTGAGCTGCTTTCTCGCCACCTACTCCTCCACTGGAGTAGCTCTGTAATACAGGCTCACATCACCCTGGTAACCTGCGAGAGAAAAGTGCTCTGGCTCTTGGCTTGATTGCAGCGAGGGAGGGCAGGCGAGAGACAGAGACGGAGACTGTGGCAACGGTGTGCGAGGGGAAGAGAGGAAGAGGGAAGTGGAAAGAAAGGAGGAGAGCAGCTTGTTTTGGGCAGGATGCTATCCGGTGGTGTGTGTGTGAATTGTAAAGGAGCAGAGGGCAGCTCGCCTGGGTTTCAGTCCCTTCGGCTTTAGTTTGTCGAGTGTTACTCCAGGTGAGTCTGACTCTTTGGCTATAACACTTTTAGGCAAGTCTGTCTTTGCTTCATACTTAATTTAAAAAACAAAAACAACAAAAACTAATACTATCTCTATGTTTACACTGTTTGTTTTTATCGTTGGGATGTAGTGTATTGCTCTGTTCTTTTCTGTGATGTAGCCGCATGTATTTTTTTTTTTTTATTTTTTTAATTTGTGGACAGCGAAGGGTTTGTGTCCTCAGGTCAAACAGATGCTCTCTGTTTCCATCTCTGTCAGTATGTGCATTTGTGGCCATCCCCACAAATCCTGGGTTGCCAGATAATGACCTCCCAGTAAAGCATTCTTACATTCAAGCCTCTGCTCCAAAAAAAGAAAAGAAAAGGGAAAAAAAGAGAAGACAAACCGGCAAAGAAAATCAATCATAATTTAATGTTAACAGATGTAAGAACAGCATCTGTGCTCGCCCAGTAGCTGAACTGTGCTTGAAGTGCAGCTGCTCTGTATGTGTGCGCGCGCGAGAGTGTGTGTGTATTATATAATGTTAGATGTTCTGCATATAAATGATCTTGGTTGTACAAAAGACTTTGTTTTGAAAGGCTCTTGAGGTTCTGTGTTCAAGTAACATTGTAGGCTGTCAGGAGAGACATGGCTTTAATGGGATTTGATGTTTAATGAGTCCCATAATATTCGAAGCCACAAGCTCTAGTCTTGTTTTAGTAGCATAGTAAAACAGGTCTGCGTGCCTTTTAAATAACACACACACACACACGCACAGTTTCCTACTCTAACAGGAACTCCAGTTGTCCTTTTTCTTTCCCGCTTTGCTAATTTCTGGAGATGCAGCAATCAGTTGGCCAGAATGCTACAATTTTCCCTCAGCTCTGAAGGACAATCAGTAGGTTAATCTCTTTAAAAGCCTTCGTTAAATACACCAACAGTTCATTGAATGCATCCAAACTCAAACCTGCCATTACTTTGCTCCTAAATAGAAATATATTTTTTGTCACACTCCTCATTTTTTCATATGTCCGTAGCACATGAAATTGAAAATCAGAATCCTTAAACATCAAAATTAGCAGTCCAGTGCATCTCTACTTATTTGACTGATGAAAACTGTACTAATTATACTGGCTACTTAAGTAAAAAAAAATGTTAGTTCAGGAAAGGCTGAGCTAACAATTTAGGTTTAATAGCTGAAATACATTTTGAATACATTGTTGAATCCCATGCAGTTTTTAAAAAAATACTTATTTAGAAAGCATTTGTACTCTAATGGTTTGGTCATAAGTTTTTAAGATGACGTTTTATTTTCCTGGCACATACATGGGCGTTAAGCATAGTATGGATAGTATTGATATGTCTTTAGGATCATCATCCAGTTCGTCTGACCCTAACCGTTACCTCTGAGATTGGTTCGGATCTCTAAGAACCAACCAGAAATCACCACCGCTGCAAGAAGTTTGTTTGGAGAATGGAAGGTGAGGCTGTCAAGTACGGTGGTGGCAGCATCATTCTTCAGATTCATCGGCAGTGGTAGCTTGTGTTGCATCACGCAAAGTGTCATGGTTGAACCTCTAACCCTTTTGGGTCCTACAACAGAACAATGAGCCCAAAAGTACACCAAAGCCTGGTACACAGGAGAAAAGAAACAAAACCACAAAGGTTTTAAAACTATATCAAGTTGTTATCTTTTCATATCATCCCATAAAAAAACAAACAAACAAAAAAAACAGTTTAAGTGCACAATTGAAAGAATCCAATTAGTGCTTCGTCAGACTGGCATTTTAAATGGTCTTTGGTCTGATTTGTTTTCCTAACAGAAGTATCGTCAGAGCCTGGCTGGGTTGTTGGCCCCACCTTATGGAGCCATGGAGAGTGGATCCAACAACGACAGTACGTACGGAAAGGAACTGGAAGAAGCATGTGCAGAGTCAACAAGTCCATATCTGTCCAAAAACAGCATGAGGGCTGAGTTGCTTATCTAAATCGCGTTGGAACACAGACACAAGATGGGCTTTGCTTGGCTTTTCTTAAATCAACCATTCTAATTATAGTTTTTCTCCTCAGGACTGACAGACAAAGACAACATGAACTCAGACTCTGGAAACAAGGCTCATAACAAGGTAAATGTTTCCAATAGTTCCCTGTTTGACCTTAAAGGTTTTGTAATAACTGAAAAACAAAGAAAACTACACTTGTTTTGCCTTCAGTTCTTTGTTTGCTGCAGTATTGGTGTGACAAAAAACTGAGAAGCACATGTTTTTTTGCTGTTATAGATCTCTCTCTCTCTACATGTTATCAGGCAGATCATTAACATGAACACTTTTATTAAAGCTTCCATTAATATTTGAGCTTAAAGGTTCTCCATATATCTGAGCAAACTTGCCTCCTATATTCTGCAATCCAGTTGTTGTTGTTTTTTTTATGCAAACTTTTATGTGTTGTTGAATGAACCAGAATAGTAAAATAGATTGTCACACTGATGACTCATAGTTTTGATGTTCTGTAGATATGCTAATGCTAGCTAATGGATGCACATCGAAGAAAGATCCCATCTGCCCAATTAACATGCCTTCCTTTGTTGTTTTCAGTAGCAACTGTTTGTGCATGTGCATGTGTATGCACAGCTCTCTTATATTCCTCTCTGTTTAAGAAACGGGTTCGGTTTTTTAAAAATACGTCTCTGGTTTTATGGTTGCACCACATCGCTCATGAAAATCTAACGGGCAAGCGTTCAAATGGCAAGCCCTAATCTCATCAGATTGATGAAAACAAACTATTTAGCTCTCCGTCTTGGATTAAAATTGGAAATGTGGGCTCCTCCTCCGCTTCTTGAACACAACAGCATTTCCAGAGTCCTTCTGTGGGTTCTGCAGGTTCCCTCCGAGAAGCTGCAGAGAGCAGCGAAGGTCCTACGCAACGCCATCCTGTCCAGGGCGCCGCACATGATTCGCGACAGAAAATATCACCTCAAAACATACAGGTGCGTTCTGCAGATGAACCCGTTTGGTTCCGAATGCTTCAGTTCGGATCGTCTCTCTCCGGTGTTTGAAGCATGCGTTCACACACGTGTGTTGCAGACAATGCTGCGTCGGGACGGAGCTGGTGGACTGGTTGGTGATGCAGAGCGCCTGTGTGCTGACTCGCTCCCATGCTGTGGGGATGTGGCAGGCGCTGCTAGAAGAAGGAGTGCTTAATCATGGTAACTTAAACTCGCTTCATTGTGTTTCAGCATGCATGTCTGATGGACTTTAACATGTGAAAAAGCATGTTTTTGTTCTATACATTTTCTATAGCTTAACATATTTTACAAGAAAAATAGAAGTTTTTTTTTTTTCTACAAAAATCAACCAAAGAAAAGTTGAAAATCAGGAAATATCTAAACGATCGCAACGACTTCTTTATCACTCTCAGTACTTTTCCAATGTTGTAGTTCTGCAAGATCAGTAAACTTTAAATTCTAATGAATATTTAACACTGGAACTGGGAAACATTTTAAATATCCAAAATAAATGAACAAAACAACAAATAAAATGAATTTTGAAGTCTTTATAAACAGAACTGTTCTGGAAAAAAAAAGGGGGCTAGTTGAGACCAAATCACCAAACTGAAAACTGGACAATAAATGATAAATCATGCCAATGGAAATTATTGAGTTTGTTTTAATTTATTGTATGATTAACTGATTTGTTTATTATTGTGATGTAATAGTCTCTGGATTATTATATCCAGAGATTTAAAAACTGACACTATACACTGTGTATTAAACTGCACATTTTCTGTGCTGCTCAGTGGACCAGGAACTGGGCTTCCACGACAAGTACCTGTTCTATCGATTCCTTGATGACGAGGAGGAGGACACGCCACTGCCCAGTGAGGAGGAGAAGAGGGAGAGTGAGGAAGAGCTGCCGGAGACCATCCTGTTTCTGGCTCAGATCGGCCCGGACGCTCTGCTGCGCATGATCTTAAGGAAGCCGTAAGAAACCATTGTGCATCATTTACTGCACTGGTCGAGAGAGTCTGGTGGAGCGATTTAAGTTTTTAGGAATTTCTAAAGATTACGTGTGACATTAATTGTACAGATGGGAACACATCAGCATTTCCAGAGTGGTACTGGTGGGTTTATTCTGACGAAGCCTCTCTGTGTGTGTGTGTGTGTGCGTGTGTGCGTGTGTGCGTGTGCGTGCGTGCGTGCGTGCGTGCGTGCGTGCGTGCGTGCGTGCGTGCGTATGTGTGTAGGCCAGGGCAGAGGACGGCGGATGACCTGGAGATCATCTACGATGAGCTGCTTCACATCAAGGCCTTATCTCACCTCTCCAACACTGTGAGTCTGCTGCTTCACTGTTGGTTTTCCTTAGTGGCATCAAATAACGAGTTCTCCTCAGAACAGCTTGACACAGATTTCTCGATCCTTGTAGGAAAGTGTGGAAATTCAAGTCGGCTCATGAAGGTTTTGTTTTGTGTTACATGGTTTGATTAATCAAACTGAAAACTTTGGTTCGTATACAGATCAAAACGCCACCGTTGATATTAATATCATCTAGTCTTCTGTTAAGATTAGAGGTCTGCATGTGCGGCCATTGTGAAGAAAACATTGATGGTTTTCTTCATATAAGCAGAGGTGGTATAGATTTACGGTTTTTGTTTTGTTTCTGTATTTTTTTTTTTTTGATTGCAGGTGAAGAGGGAACTGGCAAGTGTTGTGATTTTTGAATCGCATGCAAAAGCTGGAACTGTGTGTAAGTTTTATGTTACTGGCCTGTATTGTAAAAAAATGTTGCTGAAAATTGACTTTTACTTAAATTTGTTCCATTTCTTCTGTAGTTTTAGTGAATCCTGTACTAGTTTGACTTTATTAATTTTATTGTCCCTGTAAAGACAGGCGGTGTGTAATCAGTGGATTTGGTGGACAGATTTATGTAAGAGACAAAAGTTGTTCATACCTGTAAATTGGAATTGAAAGGAGACGTAATCTTTCAAAAAAAAAAAAATTTCAAAATCAGAAAATTCGGTTTAAATTTCTATAAATCATCATAAATAACAGGGAACACACCAAATAGTTCAGCAGGAAAGTTGAGGAAGGTTTTAAATCAGAGTTTTGTTTTATTTATTTTTGTTTTATAAAACAACATGCCAAGCTTTGGACACAGCGAACATGTGGGAGAAAGGAGGTCTGGTCAGACCACTCAAAATTTATTTTTTGGCCCAACATGCAAACACAGTTTGTGTCACAAAGCACTAACGATACAAACGCCATCCCCACAAAGATGGGGATATGGCAGCATCATGCTGTGGGGTTGCTTTTCTTTAGCATGAACAATTCAGCTGCTAGAGTCTTTTAGTCTATCACCTAAAATTACAATAAAACTTACCAGTTTGTGATTTAACAAAATAAAATGTAAAAAAGAGTAAGGATGATTATATGCGACTGATATGTGTGTGTGTGTTTTTATTTTCCAGTGTTCAACCAAGGAGAGGAGGGCACCTCTTGGTACATCATCCAGAAGGGCTCTGTAAACGTGGTCATCTACGGCAAGGTGCGTCTGGATGCATTCGTCTGCTAGCTGCACATCAGCTGGTGTGTTTTCGTTGTTTGGAATTTCACACATGAGCCTTTTAATGGTTTTCCACTTCATCCGAAAGCACTTTATCTGTCTGTAACGGACGAGACCGCAGAAGTTATCGCGTCTGGCCTGAACGCACAAGAGCATTTGTGCCCTCTGGAGACGGGGAAACGCCGGCAACGCAGTTTGGCAAAAACATCCACGACCCGGCTCGACTCATCCCAGTGACTAACCGGCCTGATGGATGGCACGCAGAGACAAAAAATAAATAAATAAAAATCCCACTGTGCAACTTGTGTGCAAACAAATGGATGCACGCTGCGATCGCACATTTACATTTATAATTGGCTCTTTGCAAACGAACAGGCAGACTCTGGTGATTCATCGCTGCCCCTGCTTGCGCTCCTGTCTGGTGTCTCTTCTGGGCTCCGGATGACTCTCCGGCCG